TGGCTGAAAAGCAGAACTGGCAGCCAGTTGAACCTTTATTGATGACACTGACAGACACTTTTGCTTCAGGTTCAACAGATAGTCCAAGATAAAGGGTACTGATGAGTGCATGGGAGAAGTACTCCACTTAGCCAAGTAGGTGGTCCTAGTGCATTGGCAGGGAACGGTAAACCATGTGGCAGGGGCTAGGGCTTAAAATGCCTTCGTTGCAATGCCAGGGTATGCATGCCAAGGGACTTGAGGGTGGCCCTTGAGTCCTTAAGGTGATGTAGCTGTGAGTCTGTCTTTTCAGAAAAAAGAGGGAGGAGCCTTCGAATGGGAGATCCTGAGTCGACTGCTGGACCTCATTTGGGAGTCCTGAGGCCTGCAGACAAGAGCTCCTTCTCATGGCCACGGCCGAAGACATGGTCTAAATGGCTGAAAGGGCAACGTCCAGGGCTGCCTGCAGTGTGGCCCGTGCCACTAGCTTCCCCTCCTCCACCAAGGTGGAGAATTCTGCCCTAGATTCTGATGGCAGTAGCTCAAACTTTGATATAGCTCCCCACGAATTGAAGCTATATCTGCTGAGGATCGCCTGGTGGTTTGAAATCCATTGTTTTATTTTTGAATGCAGGGCTTTTTTGTACATAATTCTACATTTGTAAGTTCAACTTTTATGATAAAGAGACTGCACTACTGTACTTGTATTAGGTGAATTGAAAAATACTATTTCTTTTGTTTTTTACAGTGCTAATATTTGTAATAAAAAATATAAAGCGAGCACTGTACACTTCGTATTTTGTGTTGTAAATGAAATTAATATATTTGAAAATATAGAAAACATCCAAAAATATTTAAATAAATGGTATTCTATTATTGTTTAACAGTGCGATTAATCACATGATTCGCGATTAATTTTTTTAATTGCTTGACAGCTCTAATTCAAACCCTTTAGAGGGGACAAAATATTTCCTCTCAGTCCTCTTTGCCGTCAGGGACAGCAAGGCAGGGGTCTGCCTGTGAGACTTTGTGGAGTCCTGAATCATTGAGTTAGTGGCAGAGCAATACAGGACAAGCCCAGTGAAGTCAGGATGTCCACCATGGGGTCCGAGGACTCGATGACTTCTTCGACCTGGAGTACCAGGTTCTGGGCCACTCTCCTCAAAAGCAATTGGAGAACACTACTCTCCTCGAGTGCGGGGGCTGGAGAGATCCTGCTACAGCTTCATCTGGTGACGAGGATGATGAGGCCGGTATGGGAACAGGTTCTTGCTCCTGACCTTCCACACCAAGTGGGTCTCGCGGTGCTGGCTCCTCTGGTAAGGTGGCTAGTTCAGTGTCGTGCGGTTGGTTCTACACCAAGGGAAGCGGAGGAGGTGCACGGCTCTCAGAGATCACTGACTGAGACCTCCTGGAATGAGACCCTGGGGCTTGATGGAATGTCCATGAAGTCCAAAAGGGCCACTGCACCAGTAACTGCCACTGCGCAGGCCAGGGCACATTATGGAATTGCTGATCCATTCTTGTGTGCCTCTACTCCGATCTGTGTCCGCTCCTTCAGTGCAGTGTCTGAGTGGCCCTGCATGGGTCACAATGCACTCAGGGCCTTTCGCCCCGACGTTGGCGTGGACAAGTGCTCCCTCTCCAACTTCTTCTGTTTCTTATGGGGTACTGGAGACTGGGAGCGGTGCCTGACTGAGCCGTGGGTGGAGCCCCTCTGTATCAGAGAATCCTGTTGGTACCGAGAGTCTCTGGAGCTAGAGTCCCTTCTCAATGCCAAGGTCTCCCTCATAGATGCTGGTGCACGCCACACTGATGTTGATACGCTGGGTGCACTAAGACTAAATAAGAAACTAACTATTTACAGGTAACTACAAGAAAAGCACTAGGGAAAGCCTTGCAGAAGCAAGAGAGAAATGACGTTCTGGCTAACTGTCACAGGCAGTAAGAAGGAACTGAAGAGGCAGGGGGTTGGCAAGACTATATACATGGCGCCATGACGGCATGACACCAGGGTGCACCTGAACCAACTGGACAGATACCGCTAGGGGAAAAACCTTCCGGAAACTGCCCGCAGTGCGCACACACCTACTTGGAATCGACATGAGCAAGCACTCGAAGAAGAACAATGGTTATAGCAGAAAACAAAAACATATTAGCTTTTAGTCAAACCACCAGCACTTAACACAAGAATGGGCTGACCAATTTCTGAAAATTTTGAGCCTTGTATCCTCTTTTGTTTGCTTTCTTCCCAATTTGCTGTCATCACAAAGCTACTCCTGCTTTGAGATATAAGCAGCTTGACTTCAGCTGAGATAGCAAGTAAACAGTTCTCTCTGGAGTCAATACTTCCTCAAAGATACACAAGCAAGAAGTCTAAAAAGCAACACATTCTCTCCTCACATACACCAAATGCATAATAAATTATGTAACCTGCTCTGTAGTAACCCAGAACTTGCAACTATGAATGCAAATCTGAAAATCAATTTCTTGGCAATAATGCAGCACATTCCATATGCCTGATATCAACATTCTTTTCTAAATAACTTGATACTGGGCTGGTGAACTGAACCTAAGAAGTGAGGGGGCATATGGAAGCAGACACAGACAGCTCAGTCACACAGCTGGAAACATCTGTGTTTGGGTTATTACCACATAGTATCTAGTAGCTACTGTCAGATAGAATATTGATGAATTCCTAGTTTTGTAGCAGTTTCTGCAATTATTTTATCCCCTCTATATTAATGTTTTTTAGCCAACAACAGCAGCCACAAAGAAAAATAGCAGAACATTATCTTTAATAACACATTTGATGTATAACTTCTAGTATACAGGGACTTGAGTTTTGCTAGCTCAGAATGATTTCACCTTTGAAACATCTAGTTGTTAGTGTGAATATGTAGAAATTAAACAGAGAACCAATATTCTCTACCTATTTTCAATTATTTTTCAAGCTTGGACAATAAAAGTTTTGTTTGGAACCACTTCCAATGGTCCTAAATGTATACAGCACACATTCATTTCAAAATTAATCTTCCACCAAATCCGAACCATCCATTAGAACATCTGGGAGAAAAAAAATATTATTCAGCCTTAATATTTGTGAATGATTGCTACAGATTACTTTACCCTCTAGAGTTAACTAGTGAAGGGAAATTATGCAGCAGTGTAAAGGTACATGACATATACATGTAAATAAGAATTCAAACATTTAAAAGAGATTTACACACACAGTTTCTCTCCTCTTCAATGTCAAATAAAAAATATAAGTAATGCTCTGATTTATAATCGCCTGATTTAAAACTAAATTTGTCTGTACTGGAAGAGACAGAATAATCCCCTCTGATATTTACCACAATGAATCACATATATATATATATATATATGTATTTTGCAGAGATGTGACATTGTGCTACATGGTGCAACAGACTTTTTACTTCTGGAGACATGGGATTTTGCTGGATAAGCTCACAAGAAAAATTGGTGCGGTGGTTTCATCCTAAATCCCCAGCATTTAACCACGCTACACAATGTGGAGCAATTGTCTAAGGCTGGGATACCTAGGGGTTTGCAAATAACAACTGACTTTGGGTCACATCTTGCTTGCTTTACTCATGCAAGTAGTGCCATTGAACCCCAAAAGTCAGTAGGACTCAAATTCATGGAACTACTCACAGGAGTTAAGATGGGTAAGATTTGGTTATGCCTGGGGCAGTTTGCATTGAACCTGCCCATATTCATACAAATGGAGCCTGATCATAAGCCCACAAAAATCAATTGGAAAACGCCCATTGACTGCAATCATGCAGGATGAAGGCCTTAGTCACTCACTTCATAGGCACAATTTACATGAAACACCTATAACCTGCTTAAAACACGATGTTTTGTAAGCGAACAAAATCTAGAACACTGAACTTATCTCCTCAGACTTACTTTTTTAACATTTGCTTCCGAATGAAATGGTTAGGAAACTAACACTGAGACCTGGTAAACACACTTTTGCACTGTACTTGGGTACAAGCTAATGAAATGAGTAACTTTGTGCTATGTGAATGAAGTGAGATCTCCAAACACCCAAGGATTCATATAAGATCTACAACTCCGAATGCTCAAACTGTCACCTCTGGACTGTATGTGTGGTATTTCACATGCACATTCTGAAAAGTCACTTTCCACAACCTTTCTCAAGTACCAAACTCCTTTAAAAAAAAAATCTATTTAGGTAGGAAATTAGAAAAACCTTAATATAATGCAATTAAATTAAAAAGGCAACATGTAACTATGTCACTAAATACAGTACTAAATGGCATTAGCAATATTTCAACTAGTCAAGCAGGAAACTGCCAGCAAAACATATTCCACAATTTGTTCTTGAATGGGAAGGCAGAGAGAAGAAATCACTGGCAGACTCCTTGGACCATGAACAAATGTAAAACATATCAGCTGTTTAATAATGTTTAGCATCAAGAGATCAATATAGGACATTTTTAAAAAATACTGTATCCAATTGATATTGCAAGAGGAATTTATAGAATCAGAATGCGATCACTTGAGCTAAAAATCTAGCCAGAACTCTAGCATTAACATCTCCATTCTTAAAAGATCTCATGACACTTTTTATAAAGACCACAAGCAATCAGGAATTTGATTTTACACTGTATCCAAAAAACTGGACTTCCGGCAGCAGCATAGTGCCCCATCACTACACAAAGGCCTGGTTCAGTTCCAACTCAAATTCAGTCTTATTGAATCATCAATACCATCTCTCCTGCAGAATGCCTAAATATTGAGCTGACTCAGCCTTGTTTACAGCAGCTTGTCAGTCAAATGGGATCAGAGCAGAAGGTAAAAAAGTCTGCAGCTATATACAAGGTTGAAAGATTAATACAAAGTTGGAATTAGTACTTAACATGTGTGAAACACGTTTAAACAACTTGACTTAAGAAAAATCAACCACCATATTAAAAACAATCTAAGTGTTTTGTTGACAAAACTAAATAAAATATAAAGAGTTAACTTACAGAATCCAGAAAGCAGAGGTAGGTCCCTGAACTCTGTATTACTGCTTGGTTTTTAGCAAAGCCAACTAAAGAGAAAGTAAAGAGATAATGTTTCACATAACTTTAGAATTATTTTTATCGCAACATTTTTTAACTTATACTGTAGTCAAGATTAAATGAGACACACAAGTGGAGATCTACGTTATCATGAAAAATGTTTTGTTTTACATGCCTTAAACAGAAATCTTTGAAGTATTGTGGCTACCTGGTCCAGTCCTGCTCTCAACAACACCAGTCTGTTGTGATGTGATCCAAACACTGCATCTCACATGCTGCTAAGATCTCTGGGTCTGGGAAGTGATCGATCACTGTTCCTGGCTCTGGGTCCTTCAGGTGCACTCCCCAGGCACAGGCCCCATGTCTGAAATCATTCTTGAGCAGTGGGATCCTGCAGTCTGGTCACCTAGACACTGGAAGCCTGGGCTCAGCTCTCAGCCCACCCAAGCCCCCAATTGCTTGAATGCATTCCCCTGAGACCACCTGGCAGTGAGTGCTCAGGTTTCTAGTTAATCCCTCTAAGGGCATAAAGGGAGGAGACAAAAAGCAAAGCAAAGGAATTTCTTAAACACACACAACTTTACTCTTTAAAAGCACAAAACATCTATGAAAAACAAACTCCTGAATGCAATCCCCCTCATTTTGATCTCTCCACCTTTAATGAGCCCATGGTTTCGTCCAAGTCCTTCATGCCTACACTCCTCCTTCTGGGCCTTCTATTTCTGGAATGGCTTCCTTTGCTTAGAGAAGCATTCCATTTTAAAGTAGATTTTGTCCCTCTTTAGTCTGATGGAAAAGACGGCAGCTCTACAAGTGCTAACAATACAGCTCCATAATTACAAGCCACGGGCACTCAGGTAGTAACAGTGGGGCAATCTTTTTTTCCCCACCTGTAAATTACATATTTTATAGTGTTTAGATGACCAAATGGCCGACCGTCAACCAATGTGTGTAAAAATATATTTCTCCAGGATAGGGAAACTAAAGGAAGAAAAATATTTGACACTCCACTCTTTGCCTTTATGGGTGTAAGTGACTTCCTCCAGATTTGGTGAGAATATTCTGTACAGTAATTTGCAGTTCTGAATAGCAAATAGACAACCAGGAATTTGACTCTTTGAGGGGTTTGAATTTTCTGGGGGGGTGTGGGGTTGTTATTCAAGTTGAAAACCAAGAGGACTGCAGAGAAACATTTGTTTTTAATGAAAAGCTTCAGATGCAAACTGGACTACATATTTTACATGGGTGCTCCCTTTTTGCCTATGTACACTCTGCTCTAGAGAAGGGGTTCTCAACCTTTTTCCTTCTGAGGTCCCCTAACATGCTATAAAAATTCCATGGCCCACTAGTGCCACAACAACTGTTTTTCAGTAGATTAACAGCCAGGGCCAGTGTTAGGGGTAGCAAGCAGAGCAATTGTCCAGGGCCTCACACCACAGGAAGCCTCGCAAAGCTAAGTTGCTCGGGTTTGGGCTTTGTGCCCTGGGCCCCAGTGAGTCTAATGCTGGACCTGCTCTCTGGTTTATTTTGGTGGAACCCCTGAAACCTGCTCACAGTCCCCCCACACCCCCAGGGGGTCCCAGATCCCTGGTTGAGAACCTCTGCTCTAGAGGTCTTTACCCTTAAACAATAAAAATTGACACACTGGAAAAGATTATTAATCTGTCTAGGCCAGTAATCTTCCTCCAACAACAGCCAATGGCAGATGCTTAAGAAGAAGGCATATACGGTAGCATATCATGAGGAACATTTCTTACTGACTCCAACTGGTGATCATCTTATGCTCTGAAGAAAAAGATAACACTTATTTTTTCCTAACTAGTGTAAATGTTGGTGCTCTTCTCTTTAGATTCTTCAGTAAAGGATTAAAAAAATGCTCAGGGATTTTTTTTTAACTTAAACTACAGTTGTATTCATTAGAAATTAAAAAATTCAATAGCCACAGTTTTCATAATCTTCCTTGTCTTAAGTAGGATTGAGCATGGATAGTGTACTCTCTACCTATGGGGACTGTAATGGACTTTCACCATACTAGTTTAAAACACTGGTCAATCTACAATACTGGTTCAAACCCAGAAGCAAATTAATAATGAGTACAAATCACCACCACTTTATGGCTCATATAACCACCATTTTATGCTGGCCTACATGAAATAGGTTGGTAGGCTCAGTCCAGGCCTTAGTGAACAGATGTACACATCACCCTTATTTAGCAATTTCACCAGTTGATCACAACTAGGCAAATGCTGAGCTACGTCAAGTGTACACTGTATTCACATCTAGTCCATGCTAAAACACTCTGGTATTATTGTTACATTGTCCTCCCTCCCCCATTCCCACCTATTGTTTCATCTGCCTTTTGTCATTAACCAATACTGCAAGTTCTTTAGACCATGGACTGACTTTTACTGTGTTTGTACAAACCTTCACACAACAGGGCCTCAATCCTCATCTGGGCCCTCTAGATGCTATTCTAATGTAAATCATAGACAAAAAAAATCAAAAGGGCAAGAATTTGCAGACCAGCCAATCTTTTTGGCCTGTGGTGTGGGCCCTTTAGAGGACTGCAGCAAGGCATAAGAGAAAAAAGCCTGCAGAGTACTACTCTGCCTGTTCTGTAATAAATAGAAAATTTTCCAGTGCTGCAGAGACTATTTTAGACAGACTGCCCCTCTCTCTCAACAGGAAATAATATAATATTGGTTATTCTCTTTATCTAGAGCTACATGGAGTGCTGAAGGGAGCAAATCAAAAGGCACACAGTTACAATGAGCATAAATATGGAATGCTTACATGGAAACCTCTCCATGGGAACACAGACACACACAAAAGTGTCGTCAAATTATAATGCTGATATCATGGATCCATTGTGCCCACCTTAACAGTGCAGCTCTAAGAGAGGAGACCCAGGCTGTTTCTAAAAGCGTACAATGATTTTTACTAAGGCCTTGTCAACACAAAAACTTTCAGCAGTTTAGTTAATCCACTGAAAACCTGTGTGGATATTCCTATTTCTGTTTATGAGTGTCTTATTTCAGTTTAGCTTAAATCTATTCCTGATGGAATGAAATTAAAGCAAAATAAGCCTGTTTAAAACTGAATTAAAAGTGTCCACCCAGCCTATTGCACCGGATTAACTAAATCTATTTAAAAGTCACTTGTACATGAAGACAAGTCCTACTAATAAGCAAAACTATTTAAAAAAAGAGGCGAAGCCAAGAAGCAGCAATGCCAAACAGCTGGTGTAATCATCCTTAACCCCCCTCCACCAATTCTACCATCCCCTAGAAAAGAAAAGGCAGAAGAAAAAAGGACAGCATGGCTTTTCAGTGCATTCTCTCTTAAGTGGAAGACAAAGGACGAGGAACAGCACAGGAGTGCTTAACATGCATGCCCTGAAAGATACAAGAATAGCACTGGATCTTCCATACATGATTAGAGTCCATAGGGTTTCAAAGTTGCATGCCTTTCTCTGAGCATTTACAAACCCTTTCCCCAAAGGGCTAAATGTGGTCACAACTCCAGGAGTTAACATCTAAGATGTTGTCTACATGAGAAAGCTGCACTGGTTAACTTAAAGAGTGATTTTAACCAATTCAATTAAACTGGTGTGACTTTCCAGTGTAGATAAGGCCTAAGTTAACAGCCTGGTACCTGTACTTTTCCTCCTTCTACAGATTGTTCTGCACGAGGCAAGCACAAGGGCACCTAATTTAATCTGAAAAACCTTTCGAGTCCTATTTAATACTATACCTGTAATTTAGGCCACGACTATGCCACAAGTGCAGCTAAGTCAGGAACCTTGTTACAAGATGGTTGTCACCTGACCAGGTTACTAGATTATTCCACTGTATAGTTTAGAAGATATGTGTAGTATATCTTTAAATCTACAGCAGGTAGACAGTAATGGCAAGGGTGGAGAAGCTTTAAAGTGAAGCACAGATACAGAGTATCTTTAAGGATAATACCTCATCTAATTCTAAAAGATCCTTGATCCGTATTTACAGAAATTACTTTCTATGGGACCTTCAGCATGTTCCCTAACCAGGCTAGAGCTCTGAACTAGTAATACAGACAGATTCATGCTGAAAGTAAATCAAGGAACAACTGTTGTACTCTGACTGTACTGTACTATAACATCTGTACTGTACTGTAACTGACTTCCATGAGTCAGTTATAGTACAGTACAGATAGGTCCTTCATCATTCTTCCTGAGAATTCAAAGCAAAGAGATCATTTCCTGTCTGCATTTTCCACTAACTCCTGGGAGCACTTTGGCCCAACCACCAACAGCACAGTAGCACTCAAGGTTACACCTAAATTAGTTGTTTTTAATACCTTTTATATGTAATAGTAACTCATACGACAAAACGAGTTGGTAAATTCAACAGCTCTCACAAGACTAGAGTTGAATTTCTGGCATCCACAGCTTCAGTAAGAAACAGCTAAAGCAAATTAGCAAGTCTGGACATGCCAAACAGGAGAATCCATAGTTTTGAACAGTTGCCTCCTAAGGGAAAGGGAAAAAGAGAAGGATGGAGTTGACCTTGCACTCGTAATCCCTGCACTGGATCAATACCTATTCTACCAGGATCAGCTTTAACTAAGCCTATATACATATTTCACTCACTATTAACATGATATTTCAACAGTCATCACTGTAAAATGAATGAAGTCCAAGGAAGCAGTGATCAAGGAAAAAAAAGGCAAGGTGATTCAACTTCAAGATGAAAGTTAAAAGATTCATAGATAAGGAACTTTCCAAAATCTTTAAGATACTGCTTTTAAATCAAATATTTTAGGGGGGAAAATTTGAAGTATAAAATGTTATGTCAAAAAAGGTATAAAATATTTTTTCTAGATTAAAACACATGTCTGGAATTTTATTAAACAGTTACTTATAACAACAGTGTCTTAAGAATAAAAAAGGTATGTTAATTTTGTGATTTAAGAAGAGATTTAACTCCCTGGGGAAACTAGATATTGAAAATTGGTTTCTCACAATGAATCCTGTGTTTGGCATAAGCAAAGAATTTGCTTCAATATTACTGTACTGAAGAAAATCAAATGTTTGTGCCAGAACTCTCTTTTGTAAGGCCTGCTTACTTGGTGAAAAGAGCCTGTTACTATGGTCACAACAGTAAAAACTTAAGCCTCAGTGAGATATTAACATTCCTTGCTCTTGGAAAGAAAAAGGATTTTTTTTAAAGCCAGTGACCCTTTCTTTTTTAGTTCCCCCCCCCGCTTTCTTTTACATGATTGAAAAGAATCAGAAATGAATTTTAATCCCATATAAATAGTCCAAGACTTGAATACCGACTGCCACATTGTTTCTGTGTTGGGGCTTCTTTCACAGGAAATATTCCTTCCAGTTGTAATTACTCATAAACATACCAAAATAAATCACTGAAGACAAAAGCATAATAAAGATTTCAAACTACCCTGGCTCCCCAAATGTAACAACCTCTCAAGCAAGAGAGGTCCTTATATGAAGAGTGATCTCACATTGACTCCTACATAATAATCTGTTTTTTAAAACCAAGTGTATTTTGTTTTATTATTATTTAATGGGATGTACATGAACACGCCTTTTGATTACGTTTTGTTTGCTAAAACTAGAGGAGCTTTTGTCATTCACAGATTAATTCAGTGCACAAACAAAATTTTATTTATTTCCATATATTGACACCAAAATTGTCTGGAAATGTTTGTGAAGAGGAAATTAAAAATTACCTGAAATAAAATTAGGCGTTTCTTGAATGGGACTGTATCACCTAGAATGAGTACAGGTTTCTTTTGGGCTGCAAACAGGTTGCTTCATCAAAGAAAGTAGAAACTGACCCAGAGTATTGTTTCAAGATGTTCCAAAATTATGCCTCTCAAATTACTGGTATATTGCAGGACATTTGTTTAAGGTCAATTTTCTGTCCCCAGCCCCCTATCCATCCACGGCTGTTGCCTATACAGCTCCTACAGAGACTATCAGCACACCATCCTCCTCCCTGCTCTTCTGACTAGTCTTCCACTTTGTTCTCTGCTCAGACTGAAGAAGAGATCAGAAAGAGAAGTGAACTGCCAGTGTGAGAACAGCATGAGCACAGTTACACATGGAGGTGGATGGAGCAAAGTTATACATAGCTGGGTGGAGCACAGAAGAGGGAATAGACAGAGAGGTGAGAGGGGAAGACAAGAAGAGTAACAATGATGTGAGCTGCATTGCAGGGATCAATGTCTCATTCTACAATGATGGAAGGGCTGAGCGATACATCTGCAGGTGATGTGGTTAAGGTTTACATTTAAATACAGAATAATTAGATGGGATTACTTTGCTTCTTTCTTAAGCAGTATCTGGATCTCTTCAAACAGAACACACAAATTGCAAAGCTCATAGAGTATACAGATGCAATGAAATAGGGATGTTTTAAAAACTCTAGTTTGTTTTGTCACCAAGTATCTTTGGTTTCAGAGTAACAGCCGTGTTAGTCTGTATTCACAAAAAGAAAAGGAGTACTTGTAGCACCTTAGAGACTAACCAATTTATTTGAGCATGAGCTTTCTGATATTTTCGGTATGCATCTGATGAAGTGAGCTGTAGCTCACGAAAGCTCATGCTCAAATAAATTGGTTAGTCTCTAAGGTGCCACAAGTACTCCTTTTCTTTTTGCAAGTATCTTTGGAGAGTAGTGTGGCTAACTCATCACACATGAGAATGGAAAGGGAAGAAAACCCAATTAAGAATTATATTAATGGGGGAGGAAGGCATTACTGTTTACCATGCAAATAACCAATGGCAATTTTTACCAACTCAACAGAGTTGGATGTTGACTGCAGACCTAGAAGGCTGCCCACATACAAAAGGAATGAATTATATATCTACTGAGTACTTCACTACTGGGGTAAATGCTCTATTAAAAACACTGTACAACATCAGTCTGTGGTAAATAAAGCTACAGTCTTTTAATTTCCAACTGTGATGTATCCTGGGAGCATATGGGTAACAAACAGGGGAGGGGGTGGATGCCCATGTTAGGATTTTAACACCACAAACTAAGCAGTGCAGAACCTCTTCAGCAAATGTGAAAATTAGAGATGTATCTTGAAAATATCATCAATGAACTGGAATCCTGAGGAGGATTTTATTCTTAACTTTATTCAAAATTATTAGTCAGAAATTTTAAAAACTGTATTTGATAAGCTAAGCAAACTTTGATTCTACTGTACACCAAAGCCTCACACAGCAACATACTTTTTGTCGTAGTCTTATATTTTGAGCAAAACTGTGAAAAAACAGTATGAGTAAAAGAAAAACAAACTACTAGGAGACTGCTTCCCCACCTATTCAATACGTACATTTAATTCATGTTAAGAATGATGACAGATAAACAAGAAGATCAATCAGGGAACACACGGTACCCTTATAAACGTTTACACTACAGGCTATAGACCAGAGGTGGGCAAACTACGGCCTACGGGACCGTCCTACCCAGCCCCTGAGCTCCCGGCCAGGGAGGCTAGCCCCCGGCTCCTCCCCTGCTGTCCCTCCTCCCCTGCAGCCGTGCAAGCAGCACAGCTTCCACCCGCCCACCTCCCAGACTTTCCAATAAGCCTGTCCTGACGCTCTGAGCGGCATGGTAAGGGGGCGGGGGGGGTGTTGGATAAGGGGCAAGAGTTCCCGGGGGATAGTCAGGGGGTGGTTGGATGGAGTGGAAGTTCAGGTGGCGTGGTCAGGAGACAAGAAGCGGCGGGAGGAGGGGACTGGATACGGGGTGGGGTCCCAGGGGCTCCTGGGAGGAGGGGACAGGAACTGGGGGGGAGTGTGGATGGGAAGGGTCCTGGGGAGCAGTTAGGGATGGGGGTCTTGGGGGTCCTGGTCAGGGGACAAGGAGTGGGGTGTTGGATGGGTCAGGGGGCCTGTCAAGGGGTGGGGGTGTGGATAGGGGTCAGGGCAGTCAGGGGACAGGGAGCAAGGGGGGTTGGAGCGGGGGGGGTCCGGGAGGGGGCAGTCAGGGGACAAGGAACGGGGGAGTTGGGATGGGTCAGGGGCTCTGAGGGGGGGCAGTCAAGGGGCAGGAAGTGGGAGGGGGCAGATACGGGGCAGGGGCCAGGCTGTTTGCAGAGGTACAGCCTTCCCTATCCCGCCCTCCATTCCGTTTTGCAACCCTGACATGGCCCTCGGGCCAAAAAGTTTGCTCACCCCTGCTATAGTCGTATGGTTAGTGAAATTAGATGGAATTCCTAACTAACAAGTTAAAACTTTCTTAATAAACAAATCAACAGATAAATTTTAGAAGACATTAATTAAAAGGTATTTTGTTCTGTTCCTCCTCAGGCCTCTGCCCCTTCTCATGAAAGCAACTACTCTGTCTTTTCTTCCACATCATACAAAAAGAAAGCTAGGTTGAAAACTCATCTCACAAGCTTTACAGTTCATACCCTACTAAGCCTATCTTCATTCTGTAGTAGTTGTCCTTGGTAATACAATTTGAATCCGTCATTTACCAGCCAGTTATGACTATTTCAGAGCAACTTTTTTATTTCTGACTTGGATCTAAATGTAACCATATTTAGAGTCATTCAAGTACTGGAACTAACACACAAAACAGGCCTAGTATCTTCATACTCTGCAACTACGGCTGTGGAAAAGGAAAAATCCCACCTATAACAAAGCCTTTAAATTAAATTAAATTACATTATACATGAAAATAGACTTTGTTCCCAAGAACACATACTGAAAAAATAAATTAGTTCAACTGATTAACCAGAAGAACTATATTACTGCCCAGCATTAAAAGATCCAATGCATCTGACTAAATGTATACAGTACTGCAAACCCCAAGTGTTTAAAAATCATGAGTCTGGCTGCAAAACAACATGAGATAGGTTTAAAAATCATAATATTTTACAAACTAATAAATTTGCAGTTCTTTTTACCTTTGCCTTCTGGTTTCTAAACCTTTTGGGTACACTTAGTTCAGATACTCAGGGTTTTCTCTGCAATTCTGCAGCCTAGAAACTTACTTTTTTTTTTTTTTTTATGAAAGCTGAGATACTCATGTAATCATTTGTATCCAGGACCAAGGGTGTTAAGAACACCACCAAGTATCACCAGATTTATAATAAAGTTGCAAGAATTGGCAACATTGTTAATACATTATAAACAAAAAAACTTTTGCTGAGTAAAGCATAAATATTAAGCCATAGTCCACCTTCCTGCATGTATAGACAACTTCCACTAAAATCAAAAAGTAGGGCCAAATTCTGTCTTTATTTGGGCTGTGCCTCTGAATGTGGATCTCCAGAAAATGATTTTCTATAGCAATTCCATCTTACTGCAGAGACCATTCTTAAACTAACAATAAACTGTTCCTGCCAAACCAAATTATTTAGTCATTCTTTAAAATCACTATTAAACAACATACCTCCTTGGGGTTGAGGTGAATCATGACCATCAATGACAACTCGAATACCCACATCTTCTAACTTGAGCTTCCATTTTTCAATTATATTAATTGAATTGTCCTGAGAAAGTGATGACATAGAGGCAACAATTTTAACTTATAGGGTAAGCTAAAGTAAATAAAAATTCTTACAAGAATTAGGTTAGATAATATTTTAAAACTAAATATAAAATATACATACCTTACTAGCATCATTAAACACAGATAGCTCCATGGTACCTTCAAAATCTTGCTCCACAATTGACTTCAAGCATTCATCCAACCAACATTCAGTATTGCGAACAGGCAGAATAACAGACTACAATGAACAAACAGAGAACACACAAACATTATAAAACATGAAAGCATCCATTCTCCTTGTTTATTTGCTGTTTATCCAAAGAATACTCATTTAAAAAAGGAAAGTGCCTGATCCTTTCATATCCTTTCATCAAATATGTACATTGGCCATAAAAAAGAAAACTGCTCTTTCCTTCACAAGTAAATGGTATTTCTTCTCCACCAAGCTTTATTTTTTTACTCTGCAAAACCCACTATGTGTTAGTTTCTGTGGTTTTATTCCTTTGAAAATTCTTTGAACAAAAAGCAAACAAAATGTATACACCACCAGTTATTTACTTGCAGCACTACTAATTATTGTCTCCAGTCTCTTAACTTATCCTCAGCTTCACCATTTTACCTCCATCTTCTCTCAGTTCAGTGGGGATCTATTCTTTTCTATCCCAGCTACCCAGTTTGAACTTTTATCTGTAAAGTAGGCAACTTACATATCTCATCTCAGAAATCCTTTGTAATACTTGGCCAATGTACTGTTGAGAGAGGCTGCTTCTAAGTAAATATCAAAGAGACTTCTTTGTTCCACCCAATAAAAAATTGCCTCTCTAATTGCACCAACTATTCTATGTGTGGGACATATATGTATAAAATGTAGAACTTATTTAATTTTTTTTAAATTATCTGTGAATTATAAATGATAAGACACTAAACAGCAAAACCCATTAACGTTTTCAATGATGTTTTGCAAACAAAATATCTGTATTTCAAACTAAAGATCTCATTCAGTTCACAGTGTGATAGCATTAATACAGCTTACTCCGTTATCATCATGGTAACACATTTAGAACGGAATTACATTATTATAGGCATAACTGAAAGCACCATCTATTATTAATGTTGCCTAATATTTCTCATGAAAAAAACCCTCTTTCCAGTTGCTTATAACTTTCCATACTTTAACTAATTTTCTATATAGGATATCTGTCTCTGATTGAATTTTTTTTTTGGAAAATTTCTGCAAAAACAAATCAGAGAACCAAGGCTAGTGAAAAACAATGTTGTTTTGTCAATGTTGAAAAATTATGGAGACCGTTTCTCTGAAATGCTTTAGTTCCTCCACACTTTGAAGCAAGGACTTAAAATTTGCCAGTGGGGTGGCCTTTGTGTCAAAGATGTGCCTTTTGCTATCCATACAAAAATCTGCCCAACTTTGAACAAGTTATAAACCATCAAAAAAATCTGTTTGCACATGATCAGTAGAGGCTTATTAGAGCTTGGCAGCTAAAAACTCCAAAAGATTATGTTTGCACTAAGCATCCTCCAACCCTGGGCTGAGCAGAAACTTCACTGCAATTTCAGCTCTTGCCTGTTGCAGGCTGTAGCCAAATACTGGAAATGAAAGCAGGAAGACTATCTTGCCAATGCTCTCAATGTCTCCTGAAGGGGCTCAGGCAGCATGGAGAGGGAAGATGGTTTCTTCAAATGCTGAGGGAACAAGGGTTAGATGAGAGTGAAGGGAACAGGAAACAGATTGGGACAAAGACCTGGAGTGGAGAACACAAAACTGGGACTAGTGACTTACAGTGGGGGAGAAGAGAGGGAAACGGGGACTGTCATGGTAAGAAAACTGGTATTGGGAGAGTGGGACTGGGTGGACAAGGAGACTGTGAGCTGGGTGAGATGGCAGATTCCTAGATCTTAATGCCAGGAGAGACCATTAGATTATCTAGTCTGACTGGAAAGAAGACTGGGACTGGAAGCTATGAACAGGAGGAGGATGGAGGGGGACTGGAGTCAGTGCATGGGTTGAGGGAGAATGGGACTAGCTAAGCAATTATACTGATTCTGGAAACTAATGGGGGAGGCTGGTGTTGGGGGAATAAGTTGGAGGAGACAGGGCAGAAGGGGTCAAACTTATATGCATTCTGTACATAAGAAACTGTTTTCTGTAGGATCCTTCCCTCACTTGTTGCCGAAGTGGGAAGGTGTATAATGATGAGGCAGAGGATTGCAGGAAGAGAAAGGAGATAAAGGTAGTTGAATGCTGCCCTGGAGAACAGGATTCTATTCCTGCCTTTACCACAGAGTTCCTGCGTGATGCTAGGCAAGCCACTTAGACCAATCCTTTCACTTGGGGTCCCTAATTCTGCGTTCCTCGTTTTCTAGGTGCCTGACATGAGACCCTGGGATCTGGTGTGCAGAAGTGCTGAACACCCACAACTGCAACTGAAGTCAATGGGAGCTGTGCTTTTGAAAAAATAAAGTCCTATATGTAGGACCCTACCAAATTCTTGGCCATGAAAAATGCATCTGTGAAATCTGGTCTCCCCCTGTGAGATATGGTCTTTTGTGTGCTTTTACCCAATACAACACAGATTTCAGGGGGGGACACCAGCATTTCTCAAACTGGGGGTCCTGCCCAAAAGGGCGTTTCGGGGGGGTCAGAAGGTTATTTTAGGGAGGTTGCAGTATTGCCACCCTTACTTCTGCACTGCCTTCAGAGCTCAGCAACCGGACAGCGGCAACTGCTGGCCGGGCACCCAGCTCTGAAGGCAGTGCCCAGCCAGGAGCAGCGCAGAAGTAAGGGTGGCAATACAATACCGTGCCACCCTTACGCCTGCGCTGCTGCCTTCAGAGTTCAGCGGCCGGAGAGCAGCAACTGCTGGCCAGGCGCCCAGCTCTGAAGGCAGCAGCGTTGAAGTAATGGTGGCAATACCATACCATGCCATCCTTACTTCGATGCTGCTGCTGGTGGCAGCTCTGCCTTCAGAGCTTGGCTCCCAGCCAGCAGCTGCCACTCTCCAGCTACCCAGCTCTGAAGGCAGTGCTGCCGCCAGCAGCAGCACAGAAGTAAGGATAGCAGTACCACAACCCTCCCTAAAATAATCTTGTGAGCCCCCCCACAACTCCTTTTTGGGTCAGCACCCCTACAATTACAACACCGTGAAATTTCAGATGTAAATGGCTGCAATAATGAAATTTACCATTTTTAAAATCCTATGACCGTGAAATTGACCACAATGGATCATGAATTTGGTAGGACCCTCGCTATATGCTAAGCACTCTGAAAAATTAGGTCCTAGGTGTCTCAAAGTGGGCACTTTTGATCTTATTTTCTCTGTGCCTCAGTTCCCCACCTGTAAAATGGGATAATACCACCCCCTTATCTCACAGGGGCTTTGTGAATATTAAGATTTCTGAAGCATTCAGGTACTAGAGTGATAACATCATAGAAAATTCTGTGAGGAAATTAATAATTCTGTCTTCAAAGTATGGTTTGAATAGTGTGCAGTAAATAAGATCTGGAACCATACTTCCAACATTTGAACAAATTACTGAATAGCTACTCATTAAGTGACTACCATTCACCCTGTGCACTGAATGAGATAGGGGTCCTATGGAAAAAAATGGTTTGTGATCATGTAATTAAAGACTGTATTGTAATGCAATACACATGAGAGGACTGAACAAACTCTGGCATTTCCTAATTTCTGAGTAGTTTTTTGTGTAATGTAATATATGCCTAGAAAACAATCATGTGAATTATAACTTCGCACTTCACTCGCACATTCCCTCCACAGACCTAACAAAATTACTGAACTTTACCACACGTGAATTAATCCTCTCATCACTCCTGGGAAATAAGTATCGTCACAATTTTATCATTCTATAGATGGGGAAACTGAGACAAAGAGGTTGAATGACTTGTCCAAGGTCCCACATGAAGTCTGTGGAAGAATCCAGGAACAGAATCCAGCTCTCCAGATTCCCATGATTTAACTGCAAGACCATGTTTCTTTCAAAGATTAATTCATGTCATCACTATATTAGAATTAAGAAGAAAGCAAAAACATTAGAAAAATGTTAAAATGAAATTAGCAATGGTCTGCGTTGTGTGTGTGTGTGGGGAGGTGTTTATCTATACACACATCTCTATACGCACAAAATGCATCTACTTTAGGCTTGATGAAGCATATGGCCTGATATTATGATTGGCAAATATCAAGCTGTCCAGTATTTCACAGCAAAATACAAAGTGATATTCATTTCAGACTTTATATTCTAAACCTAATTCTATATTCCAAGGTGCCAGGGAATCAAGCTCTATGAATGAACTCACCTCCTAGTTTTCAACAGGGTGTTTTACTAGGGAATAGTGGTATTTCAAACAAGTGGAAGGGCCGTGTTTGCACAATAATGCCTTCTCTGCTTTTCTTAAATTTTCAGAAAAATAAGTTTGGTCCTCTGCTTTGATAAAATTATTAATATCACATAGAAGACAAAGAATTATATGGCATGCAAATTAAGAAATGAAGTTTTGAGATTAAAGAGCTTTGCTTCACATTAGTACTTTGAGACTGCCAAGCACATAAGCAGAAACCTGAGATTGTTTCAAAAGCAACTGCTAATGCTACACTACACAGTCTGATTCAGTCAATACATTCAATTCACTAAGGATTTTAGTATTCCCAAGATGGCAATTAGAATAAGACTTCATATTTTGAACCACATTAACCCAATGTTATTATATTTTTTAAAAAGGAAAAGTACTCTCCCCAAGTCTTCTGATAGGCTTAGTGGTAGCACTAACTAGCCACAATACATCCACGCAAATCAGTGGTTCTCAAACCTTTTCTGACCAACTAACCTCAATGCAAAATTTGTTTGGCTGACTACTCTATCACCACTAATTTGAGTATTTAAAAAAATACACATAAAATGCATTAGCTGAATCTGTCTATATTTTTCTTGGATTTTATCTTTAAACAAAAGTAGAAAGGCAAGGTGTTATATTACCCAAACACACTTACATCCAATAGTCAAAAATTGCAAAAGCAGCACTTTCATGGTGCAGCCTGTATTACAAAATTTGTAAACAACCACCAGCACCATCAAGGTGCTTGGAGCTCTGCACGATAGTTTATAATGTTTTTAAAATATTATTTTAAAAAAACCACTGTGATCAAGTTTCCTCTCCTCAGAGCCACCACAGCAAAAGTGAGATAGATGCCTGTCACACTAAGTGCAGTCGTGGAATCCCTGAGGATGCCTCTGAGCAAAAGTCTCAAAAAAGAAGTATTAAATGTATATAACAGTACATACATGATTATGAACCAGTTCAGAGTGACTGATGACTTTGGGGTTTTGTGCCATTGCTTCAGGTCCTATCATCCCTACTCAGTTTGCTGGTTTTCTGTGGTTGCCGGGACCCACTCAAGTCCAGAGACAGAGGTTACAAATATCAAAATCCAAACCTTTAATTTTTCCTACAGTTCATTTCTCTCCGTTTTTAACTTGGTTTACAAGTTACATTTGGCAATGACCCCATACTACAAATCCTAAAGCAGGTGTTCCAGTTAAAGTGCTTCAGTTAAAGTGAGAAAATAACCATGCAAAGTAGCAAATTTCATTCAGAGGCTCTAACATGCCTCACTATAGGAATACATTACATGCACTTTTAAAATAATTATGTGGTAACATCTCTCCAGGGGCACAGACAAGAGTCTTGCAAATAGCTTATAAATTTATTGTCATCTCACAAATTCAGTTCACAAGTGTTTAACTTGTAATTAGCCATATCATCATTAGCCGGCATTAATTTGTAGCAGAATCCAACAAAAGAGTATTTTAAGGACCCGTAAGCTTGCAGAAACTTCACACCAAGTCCCAAGGATATGACACAAGACTGGGAGTTCAAGAGACAAGAGTTTCACACCCAAGTCTGCCACTTATACAATGTGGAACTTATCCAGAGCCTTTTAAGACAATAGGAGTTTTTCCATTGATTTAATAAGCTTTGGAAAAGAACCTGTGTGGTTTTGGGTTCTAACTGTTATAAACCTCAGTTTCACATCCTTGAAATGAGAATAATGAAATTTAACCCCTTGTAAAAGGCATTTTGATCTATGGATGAACAACACTAAACTACTACTAAATGATTATTATATGATAAGTCTCCACTACTTCTACAAATGTCACTAAACCAAACAAGTCATTTTTTCATGAATATGTACTGAAAATAACACACACTTTTAAAATGGCACTCTGTTCAAGTGATTCTGCACTAAAAAGCCTTCTTTTCCAGTCCCTATCCTCTTTAAAAGTTGAGATTTAAAAACAGAGAGTAATAGTTCAAAAGTGCCTACTGACTTAGGAGCCTAAGTCCCATTGACTTTCAATGACACTTAGGCACCTTAGTCACTTTTAAACATGGCACTTAGGCACTTTTGAAAATTTTACTCATCAGAAACAAATGTCAATTTTTGAAAACCAGCATGGGTTTTCTTTAACATATCATTCTTTATTCCAAGCCATTTCAGTCCTTTACTTCTGGCAAGATTGCATTAGTTGTGGCAACTGTCTTCCACAGGATGGCCATTTATTTCAAATTACGTTAATAAGGTTTTTAGGCCCCAACATTTGATCTGACTTTATATTGTTAGAAACAGTGGAGAGAAGAGCTTTTAGATGTCTAAAGATCTTTGTTTTTATTTTTTTCCTAGTGCGCTGTTTTGTTTCAGTAGAGCAAAACACAAACTACTGTTATTTTTGAACTGAAACAGCTACATCAAGAAAATACTTTCCCCCCCTTCAAAACAAACAAAAGAAACACCTTACAAAGAGTACAGAATACAAAATAAACAATTGCTATAAGAAACTTTGGGCAATGTCCTTTCATATTCAGTGATGAGACAGGGGTATGTCCAGCCATAACAGAGCAATTCCTTTTCTCTGTAAGTACAAATGTTGTAAAAAGAGAGGGCCACAATCCTGCTTGCTTTCCCAAACTGAGTAATCTCCCCTTCAAAGGGACAACTGGTGTAAGCATGCAAAGAAGGATTTGGCCAGAAAGGGAATAATTCTTTACAAATTCTGAGACTGACCACCAAGTATAGAAGACTCAAGAGTGTAAGTGTAACAATGAGAAACATACCACTTGAATTCTACATCCTTGCCCAATTATGGAGTCCAATGATGCTCTGGACTTCAGCTGGGGATTGTCTGGTACAGGAAGTGATATTGTTGCTGGACATCTACACTTGGCAGGTACAGAATCACAAGCACACAGTCCTTTCTGCAGAAAGGGGACTTGACCTCCAGCTGCTGAGGAGGGGCTCCTAGGAGCCCCAACTTCTTCTGACATTTCTATCTTTCTCACGCTTTGGACACACACAAGACAAGCTCTGGGGAGAGGAGTGAAGTATACCACCAAGGGGGTACAGCAGGTTCACTATAAAAGAGGTCCTCACATGGCAACAGAGCATGAGGACAACACTTTCATTCCTGCTTCCTTGGAGTGGCTCCTGAGAAGTGAGAGCAGAGGGAACTCAAGTCCAGTTCTAGCCTATGTTCCAGAGGGGGTGGAAGGCCCCATTCCAGGCAGCTGCCAACGTGAGAAAACCACAGAGTTTACTGCTAAATGCCTCTGAACCAGTCAAAATGTCCAGGTCTCAGACTGAAAGTACCAGGGGTTGGGTGGGTCCAGACCATGCACAGTGTTAATCCACGCAACACTCCCATAAAATGCATAATCACTGCCACTCAGGGGGTTGCTCGCCCTCTTCCCCCCTCAGGGTGCTGTTTTCCCCTCCCCGCCCTAGGGTGTCCTGCTTCCCTCCACACACACTCTCCCTCAAGCTGCTGCTGCTCCTCTCCCCCTCTGCGAAGTGCTGCTCTCCTGCCCCTCCGGGTGCTTCAGCTGCCTGCTCTCTTCGTCCCCGTTCGGCTCACCCCCCACGTGCTGCTTGGACCCCGCGCGCGGCCCCCCAGCCGTTGGCGGCTCAGCGCTCACTGGAGCCGGACCCCCGACCCCAGAGCCGACACGCCCCCAATGCTCTCCGCCGCGCGAGAGGAATATCCCCAACTCCCTGCCCCGGCCAGCCAGCCAGGGAGAGGAGTGGAGACAGCGGCTAGAGGGGCCGGAAGTGAAGCTGAAGAGGCGGGAAGGTGACAGTCTAGGGAGTGGGGGGGAACCATAGAGCAGGAGGATTTGGTGTTTTTTTTGAGGGTGATGGGGAGGGAAGTGTGATTCTGCGGTGGTGGGAGGTTCGGGCGCTATGGCAGACTGGAGGGCAAGGCTGGAATGATGCAGGTGTGGGGGCCTGGGGTGGTTGAGGATGGGGGCATAGGCGCTGGAACTGGGGGACCTGTGGAAAAATTGGAGAGAGTCCAGCGAAGGGCAACAAAAATGATTAGGGGTCTGGAACACATGACTTATGAGGAGAGGCTGAGGGAACTGGGATTGTTTAGTCTGCAGAAGAGAAGAATGAGAGGGGATTTGATAGCTGCTTTCAACTAGCTGAGAGGTGGTTCCAGAGAGGATGGATCTAGACTATTCTCAGTGGTAGAAGAGGACAGGACAAGGAGTAATGGTCTCAAGTTGCAGTGGGGGAGGTTTAGGTTGGATATTAGGAAAAACTTTTTCACTAGGAGGGTGGTGAAACACTGGAATGCGTTACCTAGGGAGGTGGTGGAATCTCCTTCCTTAGAAGTTTTTACGATCAGGCTTGACAAAGCCCTGGCTGGGATGATTTAAGTGGGGATTGGTCCTGCTTTGAGCAGGGGGTTGGACTAGATGACCTCCTGAGGTCCCTTCCAACCCTGAGATTCTATGATTCTATGACCTGCTGCACCCTGGCTTGGGTTCCATCATATACAGGTTTCAGAGTAGCAGCCGTGTTAGTCTGTATTCACAACTAGAAAAGGAGTACTTGTGGCACCTTAGAGACTAATCAATTTATTTGAGCATAAGCTTTCGTGAGCTACAGCATCTGATGAAGTGTCTGCAGGGTTTGCAGTTTGGTTCAATGTCTCTCAGCAAACACACACACACACACCACCCCCATACAAATTGTTCCAGCGCCCCTGGATGTTTGTAGACCTAGGGTGAGGGAGGGGGTGGAGGAACTGTGGTTCACTGGTTATTGGCAGCAGAGGTGGGTCTTGGATTTAGGGGCGGAGGGGGGGATGGGTGGTGTTTGAGGTTCTGCCAGGGGGGATGTAAAGGATGATCATCTCAAGCCTGATTTTCAAGTTGCCTTGGTATCTGGCAGGGGACTTGTTTGTTTGTGTAAGGAAAGCTGTTTCCACTGTAAACTGCTTTAATTTCATGGAAACTTTCTCTTGTTTTCATTAGCCCCAGGCTTTGTTAAACACTGTTTTTACAATATCTAAATTTTCGACCCTATTTCACCTGACGATGCACCTTTAAATATACCAATCATGTTATTTTCCATGATGTAATGAAGTTTAGATGGGTGTGCATGTAAATGTTGTTTGTTTTAATAGTAACATTGGTTCCTGTAGTTACTTATCCTACAGCTTATCTAGTTGTCACACTTTTAAACTTCTGATTTTTTTTATTTTTCAATTAAAAAATACTCCCTGTGTCTCTTTCGTCTGTTATTGTATCTCATTAAGGACTGGTATTGCAAATGCAACCAGTATCACATTTTTAAATAACAATTAAACTGGCTTTAAAAACAACCCAACAACTGTATTTTCTTAATGATATCATCAGTAAAGATAACATTGATTAAAGCAATGATCCTGGAAACATTTATGCAGTAGGATTGCTCACAGTTATAAGTGATTGCAAGGTTGGGACCTATATGGCAAGCTGTTTAGAATATAAAATATTTATACAAAGTAGGGATGTAAGTAACGTTTTAAAAACAATAATGTGTAACTGATTAAAATTGTATTGGTTACACAGTTAAACATTTAACCGGGGAACTAAGGGGATCCCCACTTTAAGGCAGAATCCCCACTGCCGGCCCTGCACCTGGGGAGCCCCGCTGCCAGCCCTGCACTTGGCATCTCGATGCTCCCAGGGTCCCGGCTGCCAGCCCTGTGCCCAGGAATCCCCGCTGCCAGCCCCATGCCTGGCACGCCCAGGGTCCCTGCTGTCAGCCCCTGGGCTCTCAGGTGCTGGCCCCAAGCCTGGGACTCTGCTGCCCACACCAGGGTCCCAGCTGATGGCCCCACCCCACAGGTCCTGGATGCTGGCCTGCCCCCAGGGCTCTGCGTGGGGTGGCAGCTGGGACCCCGGGCATCCCAGGATGCCAGGCGCAGGCAGCAGCAGAGCCCCAGGCATGGCAGAAGCCGGGACCCCAGGCATGGGGCTGGCAGCCAGGTCTCCGAGCATGCAGGCCGGCAGCCGGGACCCTGGGCAGAGTTTAATCGTTAATAGAAACCACTAAGCATCAAGCTTATAGGTTAGCTGGTTAAACTTTTACATCCCTAATACAAAATCATCTTTGGCAACCTAAATCTTCCAATTGTCCCTGGATTATTTAAAGACTCTATTAAACAGTCAATTCAACAAGCATAGAGATCAAAGTTATCTTAAAATGTTTGTTGGCATGCAAATATGGATGGGTGAAGGATGTGGGGAAGACAGCCAAACAATCATAATTCATCATTGGAATTCATTTAAAATTATCTGTCCAACTTCCCTCCCTCCCCCCACTCTGTGGGCAATGTTGGGAAATGTAATATTTTTTCCCTCTGATAACATAGACTAACTTTGTACTTCCTTGTTGCCTTCATGACTTTTTTTTTTATCCAAAATAGATGTAGAAGTTTATTTATTTATCTGTATTGCAGTAGTACCTAGGAGTCCCAATCATGGACCAGGACACCATTGTGCTAGGTGCTGTACAAACATGGACCAGATTGTTTCTCCCCCAAAGAGCTTACAATCTAATGGCTTATCCTCACTATACAGGCACAGCTATGGCCCTGCAGTAGTGCCACTGTAGCACTGTGGTGTAGACATTTGCTACAACTATGAAGAGTTTTTTCCCATCACTGTAGTTAATCCATCCCTCCAAGAGGCACCAGCTAGGCTGGTGGAAGAATTCTTCCATTGCCCTAGTGGTGTCTACACTGGGGCTTAGTTTGGATTTACTGCCCACCTCAGGTGTCTGATTTTTTTCACAGCACTGAGTGAGGTAGCTAGATCAATGTAAATTTTAGGTATACACCAGGTCTAAGTAATTGAAGACCCAAACAAGGCAACTGGAGATGCATTTTGAGTTATATTCCACAGGTAGCTACAGAGGGCAGCTAAACTAACTTCCTTTCTAAATATATAATAAAAGCTTTTACTTTATTAAATTATTATAAGTACTATTGGAAGAGTGGGCCAGATTTGTAAAGGTATTTAGGTACCTAAAGACGCAGGGAGAGGCTGAATCTTTAGACACCTAACTACCTTTACAAATCTAGCCCTTTGTTACATAGTTTTAAACTCTATCCTTGATTTATTTTTTTATTTTAATGTATCACAGTGGAGAGAGGTATAATAATGAACTGTATCAAGTTCTTCTTTCAAGAACATAGTGTGCCCAGCTTTAAAGCAATTGATAGAGAAGGAACTGTCTTACTTTAAACACTGTTTCAGAAAACCGTGGGAGCAGTAACATTGTACTGAAGCAGTGTTGCACATAACAATAGTTACAGTTTCTTAGAGGAGTCATGTCATGTTGGTATAACACTTACTTTGTATTATATTAATAGTTATATCTTTTTAATATCTGTATGATGTACTCTCATTTTGTAATTTGCTAATTCTAAATGTTTTAGCTGTCAAACCCTCTTGACCTAAACAATCAGGAAATGCAGGTTATGCCACTTCTAATTAGAAAGACATTTTGCTGTAGGATTACACTAAAATCTTACAGTTCACAAATTACATCAGTTACCATATGGACAGTTTTAGGCCTCAATCCTGTAATCTGATCTGTGAGGGCTTGTGAGGAACGCAATTGACTTGATAGGGAGATCCTTATGAAGCACCCCATGACATGCAGGTTCTGTATGGATGTAGTGTTTTAGCCACATGGGTGAGAGTACAATATTGACCCCTTGCTCTGGGAGCTTCTGAAAGGTTACTCCTACAAATGGAAATATTTGTTTATATTGTACAGTATATTAATATTCTGGTTTATTTCTATATTTGCTGGAAAGAGTTACAGTATTTCAGACAAGTGTTGTCTAATCCTCGGTACATATTATGTGGACATAGAATAAGTGAGCATAAAAATATCCTGGATAACACATTTAACTTTGAATTTCCACATTTTTGTATCACTGTTTTTAAATAAATACTAAATGATCCAACTAACAATGCAGGAGAGGCATTCAGTATGTAACTAGTTTTAAATCAACTTTATACAATAAGTATTAATTTTTAAATACATTTTCATGACCGCACCGTGATTTTTAAAAAGCAAGATATTCAAGTAGCAAGAAGTGGTAGTTGTGGCATCCATAACTTTGATGAATATAATAATGTTCTACTGCTTTTTATTCCTTCAAGTCAAGCAGAGCCAAAATGGCCAAGAGTGTGTGAGCTGTGTTGTCTTCTTTGTGCATCAACAACAAAATTGTGTACTAATTTACGATTGGTTATGCCTGTGTACATCTGTTAAGGCAAGGGTGTCACTGATGACATACTTTGGCCTGTAGAGCCAAATTACTGTTGATGGTACTCAGTATGGAAAAACCCAGTCAATTTCCCCATGTAGACAAGCCCCCAGATCCCAGGCTGAATTTTCAAGGCTGGCAGGTAAAAATAAATAATATTTTTACTTGTAATGTGAGCACATC